TCTGATTGCTAATAATAAATAAAAAAAAAATAAAAAAAATCTCACACAGTGTGCTGTTCATCACGAAAATAAAAATAATTTTGTGTTTTATAGTTTCGTATAAATAAATATTTTGTAACAGTTGCGATTACCGTACCTGGCCATGTCCGTATTGCGTAATATTTGCACATGGTCCGATTGTTATCGTATGCGGGCTTTGCCCTTAACACTATGCCGTTTTTGGTCTGTGGCAGAAATCTATCCATTCTGTTCGTCGTCTATTATATACTTAGTAGACACGCCGCTGGGTGTTGCTACTATCTTCTTGTTTATATTATATGATAATTATTGTTAGCAATCTCTGCTTAATGTTAATGAATATGTAAAACAGATTGCAGAATAAATTAAATAAAAAAAAATTCTGTTTGTCATTGTAAGTAAAGCGGTTAAGGGGTTAAAACGCGCCCGGCGGAGGCGTAATCAGTTCGGACGTGGCTAGCGCAAACAAGTTCAGGAGGGTTCGCTGATTCGATTCCTAATTCCTGATTTAATTCCTAATTCCTAATCCGACATCAGGCAGCTTTGATGTCTTCCGCAATGAAAAATGTCAACAAATACTTCGAGTATAGTTAATTAGTCATAACTGCATTGGGCAACTCCTCGGTTGCCATCCATTCAGAAAAGCCAGTGGCAGTTCGATTCGTGATTTTGACGAGTGAACACCTAGTAGACTATTACGTAAGTGATATTTAATAACACGGCAAATACAGCAGGCATAGCCTGTTGTTCGAGCAAACAATAATGGAGCGTTTCAAAAGTGTAAATACGCTTCTTTTTTATTTTAAAATGACAGAAGGGGGCCGGCCGTGGTCCCGTGGTAAGAACGTGGGCTAGCAAATCCTAGTCCCGGGTTTGAATCCAACCTCGGACGGTTCGGTATCAAAGCAGCTTGATACCAAATTTTCACTTGAAATCATAGATTTCAAATATGATTTCAAGTGAAAATGGCCTTTCGTGGGCATAGCTGTAGTGGCAACATGCCACTTGAAAGTAAAGTCATCACTATTACAACAATTGTAATAATAAAAATTCAGCACATAAAGATGAGACAACTGTTTGGGTTGCCATCTATAATAAAACAAACGTAGTTTGTAAGAGATTCATCACAACAGCTCATAGAAACCATAAGTTCTGATCGCTGTTCAAATAAATAAATAAATAAAAAAAAAATAATAGAAGGTCGCATTCTGCCATTAAAAGTGCATATGTGGCTAAAAGAAATAATAGGTAGTGTGTTCGAAAATGTGTCTAGTATACACGGAATTTCAATGGAATATAAAATATTAAATGTAAAATTTAATAAGGAAAATGTATAATGTCAGAATATGGAAAAATATTAAAATATCAAGAAGGCATGTGGGCCGGTGAGGGATTAATTCCATGTTTAACTGGCAACAGAACAATACTCATGGAAATAAAAAAAGAATTACCGAGCAGAATTAAGATTAATGGTAAAATTACGACAATTATAATTAAAGGTCAACCCAGAAAATGCTTTTATTGTGGAGCTGAAAACCACTTAAAAAAAACTGCACGGAGCCTTCCAAAATAGATCAAAGAATGAAGATTGTAATAGGAAAAGACCCGATTGGATACCATACGGAAAATTTATACACAACAGAACATAGATTTCAAGAACAAATTACGAAAACAGAAACCAAAATATAGTAATGGGAAAAAATGATAATAAAGAACATTCTAAAACAAATAAAGAAAAAAAAAGACAATAATAAATGAAAATTTGTATGAAAAGAAAAAAAATAAGGAAGGAACACAAAATATGGAAGAAATAGAGAAGACGCCAATTAAAATGAAACGAGCTAGAATAACAACACCAAACACAGCAGGAGTTATGAAAGAAGTTGTCGACAAAATATCCATGAAATCTGATTCGAGTCTTATAGATTTTCTCGAAGAAGAAGATGAAATTATGAGAGATGAATCGGTTAAATATAATAAAGAATATGGTGAAAATCCAGAGCATAGAAACGGCCTTCAAATTGTAAAAATTTGAAACATCTGGCAACTCAATAAACCACTACAATGACTGATGACAAAATTAGAAATATTGCGACAATAAATGTAATTGGAATGAGAAGTTTGACGACAAAAACACTTTTGAAAAAAATTATAATAGACAACGATTTAGATATTATTTTTTGCAGGAAGTTAATGAAATTGATTTGAGTTTTTTTAAGCCACATCAAAACATAATTAATATAAATGAAAATCAAAGAGGCACAGCAATTTTAACTAGATTTGGATTAACAGTTAAAAACCTTAAGATGCATGAAAATTCAAGATTATTAGGGGCAAATATTGATGGGATTAATTTTCTAAATATATATGTACATGCAGGAAAAGGAAAACGTGCACAGAGGGAAAGATTATTTGAAATAGACATGGCTAGTGTAATAGGCAGTAATAATACAAGTTTAGTTTTAACAGGAGATTTTAATTGCGTAACTGATGCCAAAGATCAAAAAGGTAAAGGAAATTTTAGCGGTGCTTTGAAGAGAGTAGTGACACAACTAAAATTAAAAGACGTTTGGGAAAATAAAAATAAAAATAAAGTTGAGTATACTTTTATTAGAGGAAATTCGGGTTCAAGAATAGATCGTTTTTATGTTGATGAAGTTTTAATAAAAAATATCGTTGATTGCAAAATAGTCCTAATTGTATTCTCAGATCGTAATGCTGTTATTTTGAAAATTAAATCGGCTCAGTCAATACCAGCATTTGGACGAGGCTTTTGGAAGATGAATACAAAGATTTTGCAGGCCAATGATTTTGATGTCATTTTTAAAGGAAAACTGCAAAAAATGACAAAATATGCAAGCTATAATAAAATAACGCAATGGTGGCAAAATAAAGTAAAACCAACAATTAGACGAATTTCAAAAAAAAAAACAAAAAGAACAAGCTAGTGAATTTAACAATACAATTAGTTACTTTGAAGCAATATTGAAAGAAGCGGTAACAAACCATAATAACATCGATGGAATGTTAGCTATTATTAAAGAAACTAAAGCTACGATCAGGAAACTATATGACATTAGAAAAAAAGGTATCAATATAAGATAAAAAACCCTACATATTTCTGAACAGGATCGTCTGACTACATATCAAATTGCCAAAGAAAAACGAAATGGAGAAAATAAATATATAAAAACATTGAATAATACAAAAAATGAAACCTTAAATAATACTGAGCAAATTATTGAAGAATTCGATAAAATATTTAAATAACATACCATGAAAGTTAGTTAGTTAGTTGAAATGTGTTTCTTATTGCTAACTATACTATTGTACGCTTATATTTTATCGTCAGTATTTATAAATAGAATGCAAATTCAGTTTCGTACTTACCATACAGATTATTATATAAAGCAAATGCAAGTGCACATCTCTGACTATTCAATTCGATAAACATAACACCGCGCACAGAAACAGTGATATATTTCTGAATCAGCAAACAGTTTGTAGAAAACTCAGTATTTATAATTTGAACAAATTACTTTTATGAGCAAAAACGAACATATTCTCTATACTTGTAAATAAAAACCTCACTACACAATCGAAATCATAAGTCTGAAATTGTTCAAACGCGATCGCATTTGGACGCAGTTACATCAACAACCGACCGAAACGACCTGAACCGAACGCACGGAACGCACTACTGAAATAAAAATCATAACTAAACTGACAGTAACTGCCTGATTGTGAGTGACTTTGACAAAGAAACAAACTGATGACGAAAGATGACAGTTTTGGACAAGTGGACGGCCGCGGCCATTTTAAAAAATTAGGCTAAAAATGCCAATTTGGTTTAATCAAACTATATAATCAATTGTGTTACGAATTTATAACATATTGTTTTACTTCTTAAATTAAGATGATTCAAATAACATGATGAAATCGTTTGTGGCTTGCTTTTTAATAAATTTTCTGTTTCTGTTTTCTGCAAGCCAGTCTTGATTTTTTTCTATCTTTTCCCAGAAGCCAAACATCGATATTAACACTGATATATTGTGAGTTAAGAGCTACACAAAAGCATTCGAGAGAAGATCGCAATATACGAATTATCTCGTAGTATATATATAGTATAAAGTCTTGGATTTGTAAATATTTTGTAGTGCTTCGAATAAAGAATCCAAAAAGTAATAAAAAACAAAAGTTTTTTAAAAAACCATTTCTTTATTTATTTACTGTCGACGTTTCGGAACTAGGTACGTTCCATCTTCAGGACATCTGTCAAGAAACATGATCTTGATAAGATTTAAGCAAGCAATATATTTAACAAAAGCAGAAGATGGTGTTTTTTTTTAATTAATACAATCCATTTTATATGTGTTTAATAAAACTCTAGTATATATGTGCTATATGATAAACACATTTTATGGCGTAAAAAACATCTAAAAACCTTTTCTGAAGTTCAAAGCACTATTGCATATAACTTGAAAATTAGAAAGGACAAAAATCAGTTTTAAGATCAAGCTCCATTCAAACAATCTAATATTACACATATACAAAGACTAACTTTCCTTCAAAATATGTCACCAAGAATGATGAAAAGTGATGGTCTTTTTTCAAAGTAAAATTTTACATAACGAAAATGCAAAAAGGTTATTTTGTGCTTGTATTAAAATTATGCAAAAGTATAAAATAAAAATAAAAAATACTGATACTTTTCCATAAAAGTATATTTGATTATATATTCTCATTGATAAATAATAATTTTGCGGTTAATTATTTTATCAAATCAGTCAGCTTTTTATCTTTGTAATTAAAAAATTACTTAAAAGTAATCTGTCATGTATAAATTACCATTTTCATCAATGATCAAATTCTTAAAATAACAAATCTACGTATAATGATAATAAATATAGCTTAAATAAATATAAAATATATAATAACATTAGGTTATAGAATATGAGATTCAACTTAAATAAACTGCATAAGCACTAAAGGAATAAAAATCTATCGCCTCTTTTTCTTATCCTGTTTACGAGTTCTATGATAAGGGCGTCTGGGTGTATTTTGTGGTGATGACTGTTCAGAGCTCGAGTCCTCGCTTTCAATTCCCTAAAGAACAACAAATGTGCAAGGAAAATATATCATATATATATCAAATAAATTTATGAATAATATATATTATGGTATTATAAAAGCTTAACTTACGAATTCAAAGTTGAGTAATATACAATTATTGATTAGACAATTTACATTTTATAAACAATCATAAAATTAATCATAGCTAAAGCAACATTTTAATATTTGCAGATATCAGTTTACAATGCAGACTTTATAAATTATGGGTTTTATTATAATAGCCGTCATAAAGCATGTGAGCGTAATTTTTTTGCATCCTTTTTTTCATATATTAAATATAAATAAAAATATATTAAATATAAATAAAGATAATTTTTAAGCGTCTAATTATAAGCTTATGATATGAAGTAAGCGACATAACCTACATGTATCCATTAACTAACTACACCATCATATTCTATGTTAAACAAGTGAGAGCAAGCTTATCCACTAATAAGTTTCATTAAAATATTTTCAGTGATGTATCACCAAAATTATGGAGGTATTCCAGTGTATAAATTCAAAAAAAATTTAATCTTAATTTTATTATTATTATTATATTATTTAATCTTTTGTTTAATATTTTAAAAGTTTAACTATTTAAGAATATGAATACGAGAGGATTTTTTAAAATTCAAATTATTTTCGGAGATACAGCTGTTTGACCATGACAATCCTCTTTGATTTGCTTCTTATGCGAAACTATAAACGCGTTTTTCTTAAAACTGTCTTTTTCAATATGATGCCCACGATTTCTCAAGTTCTACTGAACCAATTCACTTGAAATTTTTATAGAATCTTCTTTATAGACATCTCTATAAATTAATGTCAAACAGTTTTTTAACTTAATCATTGTATAAGCTATTGCTACATCATTCTATTAATAATCTTCTTTCAATTTTCATCTCAGATTACTAGAAGAGTTGCAATGGGCATGATCATACCCACTTCAACAACTGCTAATTTTTAACATTATTAACTTTATTTTGATTTTACTTTTTTCTGAAGTATTGTAACGTTGATAAATAAATTATAAAAAAAATGATTACGTTTTTTAAAAAATGAAATTAATGCCTCTACACTAGAACACCCCCTTAATGTGTGCCTTGAGATATAATACTAAGCACAACTATTTATGTAATTGATATTGATACTTTCGTACTCAATGACAACCTGAGACTTACCTTGTGATTATTAAATAAATGCTGGTCTTTGCTTGTGTCCGGCATGATAATACAAGCAACGAAGCAAGCGATTTGAAACAATGCACCTAAAAACAATCCATATCTAATAACGGTATCTGTCATATCCTCCCCAACAGTATTTAAAGTAGAAGTCATCTTTAACAATCGATTACACAGCTATTTAAAATAATTACTACTTGGAGGATACTCAATAAAAACAATATATGTTTGCTTTTATTTGACATTTAAATGTTTGGTGACGCTTGGATACGTGATGGATTTTGTACCAATACCAACATGTCGTTCAAAATATTTTTAATTTTACCTCTGGCAATGTAACGGCAGATTGTTATATTTATTTGTTATAAATTTCTTAATTTTAGTTTTATAATAATTTGATAATTAAAATGCAATGTTGTTTCTATATTTTTTTCTTTTTATCGCTTTGCTCTTTTTCGTCTACTATACCATTTTGTTTGTGAAACGCTTAATTGTCAGTTTTCTTGTACTTTGTTTGATCTACCTTTATTTTTATTATTATCATTACTTTCTATTGCTTCTGTTTTGCACGTTTCTATATTACGTATGGAGAATATATACGTACATTAAAGGAAAAAATGAATAAAAAACCAAGTGACAGTGTATGTGCTGGATTTGAGAAAATTTGTTTACGGTTATGTTGGTGCTTTACTCTTGCACTCAAAATCAAAATGTCAAAAGTGCGGCAGTAAACAGTTTTATTTTTTAAAGTTTTTTTTTTTTGAAATTAATGTATTTGCACAGTGCTCAAATATATAATATTGCTTCTAACATATAAAAAATGAGTTTGAAAAGACAGCGCGATGATAATCTTAATGAAGAACCTGATAGTAAGTATAAAGCAATTACAATGAATGTATAAATATTATAGTAAAAATTGCTTACAATAATATTTCCTAAATGAATTTTTACTGCTAAAGATCGAATTGAAGTAACTTTACCGATGTTTTTCCGATATATGATTATAAATGTATAAATAAGCTAGTTTATCGGTTTACTTTTGAGGTTAAAACAAAATATTTATAGGTTATATTTAGCAATATGTAAATAATTCATTAATACTTTTTATTTGCAGAGAAGCTTATCAACCGTTCATGTCCATACTTAGATACTATCAATCGTCACGTTTTAGACTTTGATTTTGAAAAATTGTGCTCAGTCTCGCTAACTAGAATTAATGTTTATGCATGTTTAGTTTGTGGAAAATATTTTCAAGGCAGAGGAAACAACACTCATGCTTACACCCATTCTGTCAGCGAATCTCATCACGTCTACCTTAATCTGACAACATTGAAATTTTATTGTTTGCCAGACAATTATGAGATAATTGACTCTTCCTTAGATGATATAAAATTTGTATTAAATCCAGTGTTTTCACCTGAAAGCATAGCTGCATTAGATGTTAATGTGAAGCTATCTAGAGCTATTGATGGGTCTATGTATATGCCCGGAATTGTTGGTCTTAATAATATTAAAGCAAATGACTATTGCAATGTTATCTTGCAAGCCCTTTCACACGTAAGTCCTCTTAGGAATTATTTTCTTAGAGAAGATAATTATTCTAAGGTCACAAGACCACCAGGAGATTCTAGTTTTTATTTAGTTACACGTTTTGGAGAATTACTTAGAAAACTTTGGAATCCTCGCAATTTTAAAACTCATGTATCACCACATGAAATGTTACAAGCGGTTGTGTTGTGGAGCCGAAAAAAGTTTCAATTTACTGAGCAAGGTAGGAACTTTGAATTATCTTATATTTGAATTAGTATTTAAAATCTAATATTAATATTACAATAAATTATTCTTTAACATAGGTGACCCAGTAGACTTTTTAAAATGGTTCTTAAATGCGCTACACATGGCACTCAATGGAACAAAACGTGCTGACTCTTCTATCATATATAAAGCATTCATGGGCTCGATGAGAATCTATACTAGAAAATTACCCCCAACAGAATTAGATGAAGACCAGAAGGAAAAATTATTGCTTACAGATGAATATGCTGAAAAAGTGACAGAATCACCATTCATTTATTTGACATGTGACTTACCACCACCTCCATTATTTATTGATGAATTTAGAGAAAATATTATTCCCCAAGTAATTATCTTAAATTTTAAAATTTGACTATAGAAATTGTATAATTAATTATATTTTTAGGTAAACTTATATCAACTGCTTACAAAATTCAATTCACGAACTGAGAAGGAGTATAAAACATACAAAGAAAATTTTTTAAAACGATTTGAATTGACCGATCTTCCTCCTTATCTTATTCTGTACATAAAGAGGTTCACTAAAAATACATTTTTCATTGAGAAGAATCCAACCATTATAAATTTTCCTGTTAAGTAAGTTAATACACTTCAAAATTATATATACATATTTTTAACACATTATTCATGATATATTATATTTCAGAAATATTGATTTTGGTGATATTTTGACTCCTAATAATAAAGCTAGACACAAAACAACAATCTATGATTTAGTTGCAAATATTGTTCATGATGGAGAACCAAATAAAGGAACATATCGAGTTCATTTGTTACATAAAGCCACAAACCAATGGTATGAAATGCAGGACCTACATGTTACTGAAATTCTACCGCAAATGATTACTCTAACCGAGGCCTATGTACAGATTTATAAACGCAAGGATTTGTAGTTAATAAATAGAAATATTTGGAGAATTTATACCCTTATTATTTATCTGTTTTGCAGGTTTTGCTTCTTAATATGCAAAAATAAGTTCAATTTCAAGTATTTTTTTGTTATTAGTATAGAATTCTATTAACTGCTTTCATCTTAATTGTTTAACTTAACTGATTCTACACTGCAATCTGAAAGTCAACTTTAAACCTAAAATACTTTTAACACTTAGCATGGGGGCAACGTATTTTTACGTTTTTTGCAGTCTGTCACTGAAGCGCGGTTCACATAAAAATACGTATATAATAGATTTGGTGCGGATACCCGCTAATCACTACAAATCTACTAAATACGTATAATTATATGCATGTGTGATATTATATGAGTGGTGTTTGCATTTTTTGCATTTAAGCTTTGCATTTTTTTTTTACAAGTTATGATTGTCGAGTTACTCGGTCTTTTGATGAGTTATTTCGTCTTCAATCGAATTTCTAGCTCCAGAACATACAAATTATGTTTTGTCAATTTGAGGCTTGGCCTTTCATTGTTGAATACAAATTGATAAAATGAGCCGTTGTGACAAAGGGAGTGATGAAGAAATATGTGCTGACAGATTATTGGACTTTTCGTATGATAGTGATTCTGAAAGTCAAGATATCGAAGAAAGTGACTGAAAAAAATTATTAGTTATCGATTCTACTTGTAGATGTAAAATAATAAAGCTCGTTCATAAAAACGAAGTAGTTTTCGATTTTCTGTGATCCTTTTGAATAACCAAATGTGGTATAAACCGCATTATAAAGTTCCGTAGCCTTTCTCATGCTTTTATATTTATGCTAAAAAAAGGACATAAAAACTTTTTAAAATTGACTCCCCATGGCTGGTCAAAAAAATAGATATTCTTATAATATTCATGATTTGCATTTACGCCGGCTTTGCGACACCGCCGTAATTCGGCGGCGAAGTATGCCCGCATGGCCAGTGTTAAAAAAAAATCTTCATTCATTCACTGTTGCATTCAAGAACTTTCGAAATAAATCTAATATATATTGTAATTTAAACATTTAATACATTAACAGTTCTTTTAGCTATTCTTTTTAAGACAATCATCTAAAAATCTCTCTAAAGTATGAAAGAGATGGGGTCGCACGCTAGATAGACTATGGTCTTCATCAGCATAACTCTGCAATAAATAACAAAAATTGAACTTGAGTCTATCTAAGCAAACATATATTAAATTTATTTTTACACACCATTTCTTCAAAGGAAATATCGTTCAGCTCCAAGGACCTTGAAAATCGCATGCTCTGTTGATAATGCACATTGTCGTCAAAACTTCCATGGACCAAAAGCATCTTCTTATTTCTAAATGCCTCTACTCGTTCTGGTGATGTTAGAGCAGCATCATGATAGCCTTTCCCATTATCATTTACTGTCGGTAAGCCCATATAACGCTCAGTGTAAATCGAATCTGATAAAATTTGATTAAAACAGTGACTATTAAAACTCTATTGTAATTTTGATGATATCCATATCCAATTGAATCTCTTACCATACAATGCCCAATCTGTAACAGGAGCGACTGCCATTCCACATTTAAAGACATTTTGAACATCAAACGACAATGCAGCTAATGTAGCATAGCCTCCATAACTCCAACCCCAGATTGCAACACGTTTCTTATCCAAATACGGCAGAGTTTGAAGAAGTTCCCTGAGGAAGAAAATTTGCGTAAAACTTCATCTTTGAATTGAATTGAATTGAATAGAAAACAAATTTCACTATCTATTCTATCCAATAAACAGAGGCACTGGGTAATAAAAGTTTGTTAGAAGCTCTGGATAGACCAAGTCAGGGCTCAAATAGTTTAATTGTCGTTAGTACCTTGTGACGTTAATTTGATCGTATATTTCATCAGTGCCAAGACGTCTGTAATTAGCTTGGGCGATAGCATCGCCTTTAAGCCCCGATCCTCGACCATCAATCGAAACATAGACCATACTACGATTACTTGCTAGATAGGCGCCCCATTCAGCACTCCATTTATCAGATACTTGTATTGTATCTGGACCGGCATAACTGTACCAACATAATTAATAACACATTTCTTGTAATTACATACTTGATTTTAAAATAGCGCTTAGTAAATATATATGTTATAGATTGATTATACTTACACACTAACAACAACTGGATACTTCTTGGAACCACTCTTATCCACATTAGGTGGCAAAACTAAGCCAACCTGGGCATCATATTCCGTGCCTGGTATGCGAACACTCATTCGTTCGTGGGTTGCTGTCCTATGTTCTTTCAAAAAATGGCGCAGTATTTTGTTTTCTTCCCAAGTTATTATATGCTCACCATTCTGGAAAAAGCAGGAATATATTACATTTTATTTCTTAGATTACTAATTAAAAACAATTTAATATATAGGATATACCTTAGATAAAATATCAACGCGTATTGGCTCCGGTCCGGATGTCGTTAAGCTGACAAAGGATCCATCCTTACTTATTTCTGCGCTATGATATTGTCCACGTTCTTCTTCTGGTAAGGCAGTACAACTGAAACAAGAACTTATACCATCTGCATTGACACGATAAATATGTTTAACTCCTGGGTCAGTAGCACTAGTCGCTTCATAGAAACTGAAATGGTGGAGGTAGCAGTAACAGTAAAAGGTTTTATGTAATATAAAAAATATTACGTCTATTATGTTGATCTCACATTTCATCATTAGAATCCCATTTCAAAATTTCAATGACAGTATAAGTTCCTTTAGTACGCGCCGTCACATGTCCATTCGCTGCATCTACAACCGCAATATGCCTGAATGAAACACCATTTTCTTGCTGGAAGGATGCAATAAATGCGAAATGTGATCCATTTTTATTTACTGTAGGCTCTGTGAATAAATCTACCCAGCCGGTCTTGGATTCCTCACGGTGAATCTAGAGAAACATATTTTTTAATAGCCCTGAATTCAAGATTTATAGATAACTATAGTTATCTATAACCATCTGGTGGCGAAATGAAGTTCATCGGGTTTGCTATAGCAAACCCGATGAACTTCATTTCGCCACCAGATGGTTTCGTGAGAAAGATGAAGAAATTTTTTGTTTGTTTTATAATTGATAAGGAAAAATTTGATCTTACACAACAGTAATGAATTTATTTCGATTACAAAAATAAAGTGTTTTTTAGTTGAACTTTTCTAAGTAAATGAAACTGAATCCGTTTTTTGGTCTGACGTTAACACAAACAAAGCGAATGGTTTTCCAACTCATGAACAGGCAACGTATAACTGCCCATGTGCAAAACAATGATTTTTTAAATAATTTATTTGAAATTTATCCCGCAAACACTAAGCGATTGGCCTTGCGACTTGTTATTGCAAACGCAAGGCAAACTGGAAATTGCAATCGTTTGAAGTCAAACGGAAGACCAGTCGGAATCATTGGTATGTCACCAAATCGCCAGCAATTTTTGATTGAATGGTGAAATTCAGTGCGTGTACATCATTATTCTTTGCGGCAAGAATTGCTCGTTGACTTAACCAAGCATAATTCTGATAATTCTCACTAATGTCATTACTCGAATTTTTAATTACGGTGCGTGAAGTTCCAGCAATTTGCAGTAGGGTACGATGCCATGCACCACTAATTTTCTTAGCTACCTTGCTGAGCCCGAGACCTTTCCAACGAATGCAAAATTGTCGAAATCGGTTCGTGCGTTCTGGAGTTATTTCGTCAGGAAGGAAAACCCGACTTATTTTTATATATATAGAAGATAATCTATTTGAAATTATTTAAAACAGTTATTGATTATTTTTATTACTCGAATTTTTAATTACGGTGCGTGAAGTTCCAGCAGCTTGCATTAAGGCACGATGCCATGCACGACTAATTTTCTTAGCTATAAACCTTGCGGAGCACGAGACCTTTCCAACGAATGCAAAATTGTCGAAATCGGTTCGTGCGTTCTGGAGTTATTTCGTCAGGAAGGAAAACCCGACTTATTTTTATATATATAGAAGATAATTACAAACATTTTACCGTTTTGCATTCAGCCGTAGTTGCGTTTGTAGCAGATTTATTGGGAACTTGACATAGTTCGATCAATGCCAAATTTTGGACACGGTTCATCCACACTGTTATAAGTGATTCTTCATTCAGCCAAGTGACCGTGGCGAGCACTGGTTCGGAACTGCAATAATAGAAAAACAGTCAATTTAAAAAAATATACTGCTAAGAATTTAATTAAATTAATTGTATCATGCCTTCGCTTACTTAATTGTTGAACAATTGCGGATACTTACAGAGGCTTAAAAAAGTTTCCGACCGCAGATGGTGGTTGTATGTTCAGGTACTTTGGTAGGAGATCTCGGAAGTCGGCGATGTATAAAGATACAACAGGATTATTTGTACCACACTGAAACATAAAATCAGATATCTAAAACATTGTATATTGATATAGTAATATGTCCAAAATGTCGTTATGTTTCAATTCACATTGTTAAAAGTACTTAAATGGAACTTGTCGTTTTATCAAAAAATAAGCCAAGTCTAAAAGCAATTTGATGAAATTCGATTCGCATTGATTAGTTTTGCGCGATAGTGCCGAGCCGTTTCTTTAATTAACACATAAGTACAAAAGTTTTTGACAACGCTTTCGCCAAAAAATATCAAGCGATATTGGGAATCGTGGTAGTTTTTGTTAAAGATCGGCTGGGCTGAGGTAATAACAAGAAATATTACATGTCTACGAAAAGTTTTAAGATTGTGTAAATGTATTTTGAAAAGTTCATCGTAACAATTTTAAAAGTTTTAAAATAACTCAAAATAAAACAAAAACTGCTGAATGCAGAAAAAAAGTATCTTACTTTAGGATATCTGACAACATGATGAGCTGGATACTGCGTTTCAGGATGTCCAGGTGGTCCATAATAGGGTATATCAACACTACGAACATTCGTGTCATTAAAACTGGCAAAAGCTAAGAAATTCCCTTGTGGTGAGAACCAGAAAGCCTTATTTGAAGCAAGTACCTCTTCTGCAAATAGAACATGTCAAAAATTGATTAATAAATAAACTATTTGTGCAATGCATCGCGCCTTATGGCAAATTTTTGTAATTTTTCGAACCAAAAATTATTTTTTTTAAAAAGCTCTGAGATTTTTTGAAGTTTTTGAAAAAATAGATTTTCTAGAAATTTGAGATTTTAAAAAATGAAACTTGAAAAACTAGATTTTTTTATATTACACAAATTGTTGAAAATTTTGAACTTTTTTTAAAGCAACCGCGCGTCGAAGTCTAACGGATAAACATTGGTACGAGAACCCCTTTGTAAATTTTTAATGGGCCTGAAAACTATTTTAAAGTGTTTAGATTGTCCTCCCTAGACTACACATTAAACAACAGCATAATCTAAAAAGTAGCCGAGCTATTCAAAGTTCAGTGATTGTAGATTAGTGACAAATATTCTTTTTACTTAAGTCCAAACATCAGGCATTTAAATTTTATTATTATATCACTAGGTAAGGGAATTGTACTAATACTTTACATATAGTACAACTTTATGTCCTATATAGTTATGTAATCAACTATTTTTTTCATTTTTTTTAATAATATTGCAAACAACAACCCCAATAATATAATATGTCCCCAAATAAATATAGTTATTTCATTTTGAGAATTAATAATTAAATTATTTTATGATTGATTGCTAACCTTCGTAGACCCAATCTGGAGCACCGTTGTAAATAAGTCCGGGCCTTCCAGTGTCAGTGAGACGAATTGGCGGTGTAGCCGCACTAGCTTTGTAATACAGGTCTCCATTTAAAACGAAGGCCAATTGGGACCCACGCGAGCCCCAAGTAGCGACCTCCAGTCTATCGTCCCCGATGACACCTATAGGACGCTCTGGAGGGCCATTTGTCGCCTCTAGGGATCGAATAGTGTAATGAGCTAGAAAAGAGTGACGGTACACCTGCAATAAGTTGATAGAAAAATTATTACGTTAGTGTACCGTATGATGAAAAATCGACTAATAGAGAGAAATAATATATGATGCAAATTGAAATAGTAACGGAGACTGGATACGGTAGTGACAGATATACTGATATACTGATTATAGATAAATAAGAATACAAATTCTACTATAGTAATACTGATTTTGACATAGGGTCCAAACGAGAGATTAAAGGTTTTGATTAATAAAAATTTTTCCTTGTTCGATTTTTTTTTATAATAACTGTTTTTCGTATACAGGCAGATCACTTTGTGTGTTATTTTGCTGTAAGCCAGCAATAAGTTTTTACGTAGATAATTTAGCTTAGTGATAACGATGATTTGTTATTAAAAGTGTGCGTTGGGTGCCCTTTTCTTGTATAATTTAATTTTACGACAAAACCAGCGTATTTAAAGACAGTATTTCAGTATTTTCATGTACTGAAATGTTCAAATTACCATTTAATTTACTTTTTTGCTAGCTAACTGGCATATTAACAAAATTATGGCTGATCAAAAAAAGTGACACAACCGTACCCAGTCTCCTCTACAAGAAAAGAATTATTTTTACATGGCAAATATGCTGAAAACCCCGTTTGCAAATGCTTCCGTTGTTTTTTTTTTATATTATTTTATTTTCGGTTTATATTAGTCTATTAATTTTCAAACTCATATTTCAAATCCCGCTGTTATTCCATTTCGTAAACAAATATTGAAACAATTCAATTGTTTGTAAGATTAAATAACAATTTTTTTTATATAATTTTAATATTTTTTTAATAATAATTGTTCAATTCAGTTAACAATTTCATACGCTGAATTGGAAAAATATTTATTAGTACAAATTCCTAAATTATGTATAAACCAAAAATTTGTTAACTCGAAAACTATCGGTTCTAAATGTGACTTATTAGCGTAACGAAAAATGTTGTGCCTATACTGAAACGATTAAGAGATTTTTAAATGAAAAAAAATTTTTGATTTCAATTATTTGCGAAAAGTTGATAAATTAATTATAAAATGAGAAATAATGACATGTTTAAGATATCACATATCAAATATCATAATAAATAATGAAAATGAAATTCACATGCAGAACCTTCACAGCACGATGACCAGTCATTTCATTTATACTGTGTTACTCATTATATTCTTCCATGCTAAGCCACGCCGCTTGAATGCATTTCGATCATTATTCGTTCTTATACATAAGTCAATAATCACACATAATCAATACAACTTGAATACGGAAACTTCAATCATAAATAATATATAATGCAGTGCAAATGAATATCTAATACTTCGTATTTCACATTTACTTATTTATTTATAATTTTGATTAACTGATATAATTACTTTATTTGAACAATCTATTTATAATACTGAATTTATTTAAGATATCTTACCTTGCGATAATTGGACCCAATCAGCATGTATTTTCTATCAGGCGAAAGCTCGTGAAGAAATGACGTTTGCATGGCCTGCAAAAATAAATTAAATAATAGTAAAATAATTAGAAGTTATGATCGCACATACCCGTGGTTTAAAAAAGTTGATTTTTACGGTTTACAAATTTAATAATACCTCGTATTAAATAACATTATAGTGCTATTATCTGCTCTTTATCAGTTATTTAACAAATATATACATATGTATATTTTAAAACAAATATATACAAATATACACATATATACATACATATATATGGTAGAGCGTGGCCTAAAGATCCGCGGGTAAAAAGGTTCACCGCTGATATCTAAAAAATGGTGAAGTTAAGATTTATCTAACTTAACAACAATATTTGAAAGTTGAGGGAAAAACATGTATGACCAACTTGATTCTTATGACGTTGCTATCGGGAGATAAACGCCGGTAATGTTTGAAAATCCCTAACAAAAGTATCTTTCGTTGTTAGTTTTTTTTGGTTGTGAGCGCTGTTGATTAGTTTACGAGACGTTAATATAATTTTTATAGTCTAAGCACTAGCGAACTATCCAACTAACCCGTTTCCTACAAAGCTAGAAATGTTTTAAATGTTATTTTATTATCGCCATGTGGGAGCGGGTTTTATCCCGATGACAACTTTGCAATCGACCGGCATATACTTATAACCGTCAAAATAGATTGTCAATTTTTTTGCACTTAAACATATATAAACTAGTGGGGTGGGTGGCATTGTGCCTTAAGGCAAATTGCTGGAATTTCCCGTACCGTAACGAAATGTTCGAGGAATACTGAATGTTTTCAAATAGATTATTATAAATATTGTAACATTGTCTAATATTTATAAGAATTATACAAACTGAATTGCAAAGTTAAAATTATTTGTTTAAAGTATATTAGAACTATAGTCAGAATTAAAAATAAAATCTGAATTATTTTCGATATACAAAAAATAAAAAAATAATAATAAAAAAAAGAAACAAAATTTTTTTTTCCAAAATCAATTATTTTATTAAGACAAGCAGAAAGTTCTTTGAATCAATTAAATCGGACGCTTAGTTCTCTCAAAAACTACCATTTTTTGTACATTTAGCTCCGTATCTTCTAAATGGCTGGGTCTGCCTTTGTTAAAAACTAATAACCACTTCTCCCAATCATTACTAATTGAATGTTTTTTAGTTCATTCAAATCGGATGCTCCGTTCTCTCAAAAACTCGATTTCTATTTTCTGCGTTCTTTGCTCCGTATCTCCATAACGGCTGGACCTGTCTTTGCCAAAAACTAATCAGCACATCTCCTTATCAATAGAAATCAAATGTTTTTTGAACCATTCAAATCGGTTGATCCGTACGCCCGAAAACGTGGACGAAAAATTGTGTCCATACATACATACACACACACACACACATCCATTTTTTCTGAAGTATGCCAAAATGTTCAGAAACCTTAAAAACGTCGAGAGATGTAAAAATTTGCAATTCCGATTTTTGGCCCATTACAATAACTTACCCTACGGAAAGTTAATTAAGGCCTGTTCACACAACGCTCGTTTTGTTGCTTTTTTGATCGACTGGCTGGCATGCTGGTTATCAAGTAAGCAAAATGACAAGTTATGGATCTCCATTTGTTTCCAGCAAGTAAGATTTTGGTATTAGAACGTGCGCTATTTTTGTGGTCTAGCGGTTTCGGAGATCCAGTAAAAAAAAGTAAAAAATGCCATTTAGCGGCCAAAAATGATTATCAGACATATGCACATCAAATTATCGGATATTTTGTTTGTCCATTAGACTGCGACGCGGCACTTACGCGCTTCGATATTTAGTTTTTTATATGGTTCAAACAAATGTCCTCGACATTTTCGACGGTATGGAATAACTGATTTGTATGATTAAAAAATCATTCGGTTCGTACTCGATTGCGAAGCGTTTTTGCAAAAGGCAATTTTGCCGTCTCGGAGGTATTGAGCGTAAAGGGTATAAAAACGGTTATGCAGTTTTCGAGAGAACGATTATCCGATTAGATTAATTCAAAAAACATTTTGCTTGAGTAGATGGTGTGCAAAAAAATGCATTTACAGAAAATTTAGTAATTTTGAAAATTAGAAAAAAAATATTCAAAAAAATTGAAAGTTTCAAAAAATTCAAATTTTCGAAATTTTTTAACATTTTCAAAAAAAAACAAAATTTTGAAAAATTAAAAAGAAAGATTTCTTACAAAAAATTGAGAATATTGTAAAAATTAAAAAACATCGAATATTTTCAAAAATTTCCAAATTCTCAAAATAGTTAAAACAAACGTTTTTTTAAATTTCAAAAAAATTCTAAATTATAAAAAAATTTCTAAATTATCAAAAAAATCTAATTTTAAAAAAATTGACTCTTGTAAACGTACACATGAGTTATTTATAAAATACGCTCATGGCTCAATTTAAAAAGCACTTATAAATTTACAATATGTATTTATAATAAATAATTAATTTGAAAATCTTCAAAACAATTATTGATTATTTTCATTCCTCGCATGTTTAATTACGGTATGGGAAGTACCAGCAATTTGCCTTAAGGCACGATGCCATGCGCCCCACTAGTTATTTACTAACTTGGATTGTTTACTTTACACACCTTTGCCATGGCAATGGTTCAGTTGGTTCTTTTTACCACAACCACGTGTAAGCTTTTATAGAGGTTATATAAACAAAAACTATATCGAATATAACTTTAATAATACATCTTATAAAGGAATGAAATAAAGTATACTTAAAAATTATATTAAGGTTTTGCAAACTAAATAACTGCTAACTACCGAAAAAACTAACGACGAAATAAAATACTTTTGTTATGAATTTTCAAACATTGCCGATTTTCTCCGGATAGCAACGTCGTAAGAATCAAGGTGATGGCTGGATACATCTCTTGCGCTTTCAAATATTGTTGTTAAAAATTCTTAACTTCACTTGTTTTTGAGATATCGGTGATGAACCTTCTTATCCGCGGACCTTTGAGCCCCGCCCTACCCTATATGAATGTGTTACTTGTTTCGCGCCGGTTACTTTAATGTATCTTCATGCACGTTAAACATTATATTATCAATGTTATTGTTAACCACAGTTAAACCACATTATATTATCAATGTAAATTTACTAGACGGAATGAGTACACTTGAAATTGTTTTATTATATGTCTGATAGGAGTACTCCTATTCATCCAAAGCCAATGAGCATATTTAATATTTAATCCTTTCTACTAAAAAAGATATATTCTATTAGAAAGGAATTAGCATCATAAATGAACATCAAGATTTAACTAGGAATTTTCTTAATCTTAATGTTCATTTCTGATGTTATTAGTATTAATTAATATAGTTAGTTAATTAATTTATATAAAACTCACTGGCGAAGCGTTCCCATGTACAAGCAAATGCCTAGTTTTAGTCTCAACGTCATATACATATATATCACCCTCTCCTGGATCTTCAGTTTCAGGGCTATTTTCGTGGCCTCTTTCGTCATCTTCAAGATCATCTAGGCTAGACCCTAGCCGATATAAAATCTCGGTATCTGCAGAAAAAATACTAATAAAATTATGCATATTTAAAGAGTTAACACGAATTGTACTTATTCTTTAATCAAATATTTCATAAATATCACATTAGCAAATAAATAATAATCTGTTCATTTGATTTTAGAATTAGTCAAAATTTCCAAATTTTAGGTAAACGGTTACATGTTTTCTCGTAGTAATGTTCTCGTGTTTTGAAGATAGTACATATATCATTAGTAATATAGTAATATTCTCGTGTTTTGAACGTAGTACATATCATTTTTTCCACGTCGTACAATTATTTCAATTTAATTCAAAAACACACATACACACATATATATATATATATATATATATATATTTATATATTAACTTATATACATTCAATATATATACATAGCATTTTGTCAACTTTGTATTTGAACTTTTCACCTGTAGGTATTGTGTTTTACGTATCTGATATTAAAAACAATAGTATTTTAAATATGTGATATAAATGTGACAAAGAAGGAAAAGTATAACACTGTCCCAAGAAAATCATACAACAAAATTTAGAAAAATAAATAATTACACAAAAGACAAAAGCGAAAGATTTATTCGCTCTGAAACCAGAGTGATGAGCTAATTTCCAATTGCTATCAGGATATAGCTTGGAATGGCGTGTTTTCCACACCAAACTATTTCTTTCGTGAATTGGCTAAGTGCTCGAATGTTGATGTTTTCGTGATCTCTACATCTGAGGTAAAAATTTTCAGTGAGCTTTTTAATGCATTTGTATACTGTCGGTACGCCAACCTGTTTGTGTCTGTGTCTTGTAGGATAGTAGTGTTTTGTTAGTGGGTCTCTTGATTTGTCTAGTACCAGTCTCAGTGCTTTGTTCTGTATTGTCTCGGCTGCAAAAGCGTACAACAGTATAGGTCTAATTAAAGTAAAGTGCCCACTTGTTCTTTACGCTCAGCGGGCTATTATGGTTCAAGAAAGGTCCCAGTAAATTTATCATCCCGTATGTCTGTTCGGTTTTATGTTTGTATGTTTGGTAAAGTTGAGTCTCCGGTCCAAAGTCACTTCATTTTGGTATTTGACATACTTTGACCATTAAACTTGGTGGCTCACTACTTTTATTTTGTCCAGGTCAGCGTGAGGGCTCTTAGTGAACCGAATATCCTCAGTCTTATGTGGATCGATTTTGATTTGGCACTTGTTCGTATAGCCTGCCAATGTATCTATGCGTTTCTGTATTTTTGTAGTCAGTAAAAAAGTCTTATAAAGTTGTCAGTAGTCTTATTAGTGATTTGGAGGATGTGTAAATAGCAGTATCGTCTGCGAATGTCATTAACTTTGTGTTTTCGTCGATGGGGATGTTGTGTAGTATGTAGACGTTAAACAGTAACGTCCCCAAAATGTAGCCTTGGGATACTCCCGCTGTGACTTGTTCTGTCAATGTGTGTTGTCTACTTGTAAAATGAAATTGCGGTCTGTAAGTTATGAATGGGGTAATTTTGTGATGTGGGGTGGAAAATTAAGATGTAAAAGTTTGTGTAGCAATCTGTCCATGCAGATTGTGTCGAACACGGTCTCAAAGTCGAGAAACACTAATCCGGTATGGTTCAGTTGTCTGTTAAGGTTGAGTACGGTGTTTTCTATAAGTGTCAGTGGGTGTAATGTCAAATGCTGTTCTTCGATTCCGTACTGTGTGTCTATTTATGTGTATTTTGTTGCGTCTGATGTGTTTGTTGATATGTTTGAATCGTACATTTAAATTGTACGCTACCTATTTTATGCTACGATTTGCTCAGTTTCTCTCAAAAATTGAATTACCATTTTTAGCACCATTTGCCCCGTATCTTCGGAACGGCTAAACCTGCCTTTGCCAAAAACTAATCAGCACGTCACCTTATCAATAGGAATCGAATGTTTTTTGATTTATTTAAATGGGTTGATCCGTGTTTTCAAAATCGTCTACGAAAAACTGTATCCGCACATACATACACACACAAGCACGCACACACACATACATCAATTTTTTCCAATGTTATGCCAAAATGATCAGAAACCTTTCAAACGTAAAGATATATACATTTTTTTCATTTTAGATAATTTTGCGATAACTAGAACTTACCCTGCGGGAAGTTAATAATAGACTAATAACAAAATAAAAAATACTGCAAATAATGAAAAAAAAACATTTTTTTCAGAATTAGAAATCGAAAAAGATATTAAATAACATAATGACATTGAGTAATAATAAAAGGCACAGGATAGTGAAGCATGGAAGCAAAAATTTGCAAAATAGATTATAGAAAAAACTTTAAGAAAAGAGATTAATTAGGATACAAAAAGGAAAACAAAAATAATATGATAACAGAAGCTTTCATAGTATTTTTATATTATTTCAGGAATGTGATCAATCACCCATCGCGTACAGTTACAAAATTATGCAAAGTATTTTTTATTCACAAAGAATGCACTGCTAACTCATCTTATCTTGATCTACAGTATCTAAATATAATATGTCATGATTTCACATGACAATAATTCTAATGTAAAAACTATGCGTGTAATTTTAATAAATGATAAAAGTATTCGCGATTAATATTTCTCGGTCAATTGCTTCTCTAAATTTAAATTCGAAAGTCTAAAATGCAAAAATATAGTAACATTGACACTAATTGTAAGATTAGACGTAGTCTTCAAAGACTTGTATAATTAAGTTGAAAGAAAATAGTAGACGTGAACCAATTATAATATACGTATTTTCAGAATATCATGAGAAATGTATGTTTAAAATGATAATTTAATATATAATATAGCGTAGAGCACACAGGTCTAATTTGACTTTAAACAATTATACTATCTAAACCAAATGAACTACATCACACACCTAGTACGTATTAAACAAACAACTATCGACCTATGTTCATAAAATTCCCAGATAATTCATAATAATAGAAATGTGTTGTATTCAATATTTTGCTAAAATTTGTAACTTGTCCCATTTTACCCCATAGTTGGGGAAAAATTGGGCAAACAGATCCAATGTTTTTTAATTTTAGTTTTAAAAAGATTGAAATAATAGCTACATTATTCAAGCAATGCAAAATATGAAATTTATGGGTACATTTTTAACTTCCCGTAAAGTAAGTAATAATAAGTTTCTGAACATTTTAGCATACCTTAGAACAAAATGCATGTGTGTAAGTAGGTGTGTGCGTGCGTGCGGATAAAAATTTTCATCGACGCTTTCGGGATTAACCGATTTGACTAATTCAAAACTCAAATTGAATTGATAAGGAGACGTGCTGATTAGTTTTTGCCAAAGGCAGGTCTAGCCGTTTCGAAGATACCGGGCAAAAAGAGCCAAAAATTGTTTTTCAGTTTTTGAGAGAACGGAGCGTCGGATTTGGATAATTCAAAAAACATTTAATTTGTATTGACTAAACAAAGAACTGTTCAAATTTTTGGAAAGGCAGGTCCTTTGGTTATGGACTCTCAGTAAAAAAAAATAAAAAACTGCCATTTGGCGGTTAAAAATGTTCATTTGCATTTGCATATCAAATTATCAGATATTTTATAGACATTTTAATTATGTGTATACACATTTTGTGTCAATTTTTTTGAGTTCCGTGCCAAGATTTTCAGTTTTGAAGTTCATTTATATGATTCAAACATATTTTCTCGACATTTTCGACAGTATAGAATAACCGATTTGTATGAATGCAAAAATAATCGGTTTGTACTCGATCGCGAGGCGTTTTTGCAAAGGGCACATCTAGCCTTTTGCTTCTCCATCGGAGAAATGGAGAGGTTTTTGAGAAAATGTATCATTTGCTTAGATTAATTTAAAAAACCTTTTGTTTGTGTAGACGATGTGCAAAAAATGCTTTTACAGAAAATTTCGTAATTTTGAACATTTTTAAAAAATATCAAAGTTTTCAAAAAAAATTATAGTTTCAAAAAAATTAAATTTTCGAAATTTTTCATCATTTAAAAAAATACTAAATTGAAAAATTTCAAAAAATATATAAATAAAAAAAACGATTTCTTACAAAAATTTGAGAATATATCGAAATTTTCAAAAAAAAATCGAATATTTTCAAAAACTCCCAAATAATCTATTTGAATAATCTATTTGAAATTTATCCCGCAAACACTAAGCGATTGGCCTTGAGACTTGTTATTGCGAACGCAAGGCAAACTGGAAATTGCAATCGTTTGAAGTCAAACGGAAGACCAGTCGGAATCATTGGTATGTCACCAAATTGCCAGCAATATTTGATTGAATGGTGAAATTCAGTGCGTGTACATCATTATTCTTTGCGGCAAGAATTGCTCGTTGACATAACTAAGCATAATTCTGATAATTCTCACTAATGTCATTACTTGAATTTTTAATTACGGTGCGTGAAGTTCCAGCAGCTTGCATTAACGTACGATGCCGTGCACAACTAATTTTCTTAGCTATAAACCTTGAGGAGCCCGAGACCTTTCCAACGAATGCAAAATTGTCGAAATCGGTTCGTGCGTTCTGGAGTTATTTCGTCAGGAAGGAAAACCCGACTAATTTTTATATATATAGAAGATAATTTATTTGATATTATTTAGAAGAATTGTTGATTATTTTTATTACTCGAATTTTTAATTACGGTACGTGAAGTTCCAGAAATTTGCATTAGGGCACGATGCCATGCACCACTAATTTTCTTAGCTATAAACCTTGCGGAGCCAGAGACCTTTCCAACAAATGCAAAATTGTCGAAATAAAAAACTAACAAGAAAGTAAAATACTTTTATAATGGATTTTTAAACATCGCCGTTTATCTCCTGATAGCAAAGTCATAAGAATCAAGGCGATGGCTGAGTTTTTTTTTTCATCTTTTGCACTCGATTTTCAAATAATGTTATTAAAAAAAAACTAACGCTCTTCAAATATATGTGGTGGACCTTTTTATTTGTTCTTCTCAAAAAGTGACAGGCCCTTATATTCACACAATCATACACAAAAATTATTTTTTTCTAC